AGCTGTGACCCACTTACTGTATGTCAACAAATTCAGTGGGACAATGGTGAATGAGACACATTATACACACACATAACCCCACGGGGCAAAAAGAGACGTTACAGGCCAGGACCAAAGACTCAGCCAGTGATTTCCTCTCTTTCTTTTCTGCTGGAAGAGTCCGATCAACCCTGCGTGCCTGCAGTGCGGACAAGTCTTTAGTCCAAGTTCACTCAGGGAACCGAAGGGGAAACGTCAAAATACTCAACACAACGTTCCTGCATTTCTACGGCATTAGAAATGCCCTTTCTAGGGTGAAATGAGCTTAAAAGTCTTGTTTGCCAACAATCTGAGCAGCCAGCATGAAGGAATGCAGGGATTTAGGTCACAACACTGAAACAAGGGGCCACAACAAACAGTTGTTTTCAGATTTTAGATTTTGCTTAGTTTGTGTTTCTAAATGTGCTTCAATCAAAACAACATCAACAAACAACTTTAAAATTAAGTGCATTCATTTGATTTCATAACCTTTAAACATCCTTGCTAAAAGCTTGCAGGAATCCTTAATACTAAATAGTTTTAAGGTTCACAATTACAAACACTTGTAAACTGTGCATACATTTAATTAAACAGAGGTTCATTCTTTCAAGAACGACAATGAATTCCCCTGAAACTAAAAGTCCCAACAAATGTCTGAGGAACAATTGGTGGAAGTCGTTTGACTTCTTCAGGGCAGGGCAGGTTGCGATGCAAAATAATGAGACAGAACAGTTATGTGTGATCAGAGCTACTGCAGGCTGACTTTTCATCAGCTGATGGCGGTATATTAAAAATATTGGTCCAATATTTCAGCCTGACATATCAGCCCTCCAACATGTCCCTAATCCAGACTTCGTCTTCGTCTTCGTCTTCCTCCGCTTATCCGGGTCCGGGTCGCGGGGGCAGCATCCCAACTAGGGAGCTCCAGGCCGTCCTCTCCCCGGCCTTGTCCACCAGCTCCTCCGGCAGGACCCCAAGGCGTTCCCGGACCAGACTGGAGATGTAACCTCTCCAACGTGTCCTGGGTCGACCCGGGGGCCTTCTGCCGGACGGACATGCCCGAAACACCTCCCCGGGGAGGCATCCAGGAGGCATCCTGACCAGATGCCCAAACCACCTCAACTGGCTCCTTTCGATCCGGAGGAGCAGCGGTTCTACTCCGAGTCCCTCCCGAATGTCCGACAAAGACGAAGACTTTACAACAAGTATTCATCAGTTGGATATTCAATGCAGCCTCTTAGAAACTCAGAAGGCCTAAAGCTATCCCAAACTGACATTCATTGAGAGAGCTAATGATTGCATCACCACCATATTTAGCAAACTGTTGAAAAAAATCCAACAAAATCCCAAAATATAAACCCTGTAGTTATATAATCGGTTTGTTCCACCATGTTGTTTGACAGGAATTTCTTATTTTAGTCTATAGAAACATCAATGGGATGCTCGATTGGTGACTTCCTGCCAAGTGAGAGGGCTGATCAAACCTATCAAACAGAAGGACAAGCTGTGTCTTGCAGACTAGATTGTTGGCTCAGGAAGTGCTAACAGGTGTGCTTTTCTCTGTTTTTCCATCGAATGGCAATTAGAGCACCATGTGTGAACTATATGCAGAAATGTGTTTGGTTGATTAGTCGACACTTTTACCCATCATTTGCTCATTTGCAGAAGTTCTCAGCAAAATTAATCGTTTCTGTGTTCAATTCAGTGAAACTTCTTGTTCAGCTGCAGGGCGTTGGTTTGCACCCTGTTGTGCTTGGCCACTTTTCTACGCAGAGTGCTCTTCTACATTTGGCGAGCATTTGAAGTGAGTGGTGCCCACCTGGTGCATCTGACTCATAATCTGAGATTTGCAGCCTCACAAGAGGAAGACAGAAGGGTAATATCGTGCTGCGAGTGCACTCGGTGACACCTGCAACTCCTCAGAAATGGAGGCACATACTGATTTGCTTTTAACTTGGATTGTGTCTACAGCATAATTTATCTGCGTTGAAATAAAATAAAAAATACATTTTCAGTGTTAAATTTGATTTTAAAATTTATATTTCAAAACTGCTATCTTCTAAAGAAATTGTGTTACAACAATCACAAAAACACCTGTGGACTAACAAATTGTTCTGATATTTCTGGTGAACGCAGCTCGTTTGAATTTAATGCCAGCTCTTTTGTATTTGTTTTTTAAGAAGAAATGAACAAAGCAGATCTTTTTCTAATTCGGATGATTAGAATTTCGACCAAAAGCTTGAATCAAACTGATATGAAAGAGAAGCTGAAAAGGTGGCTTCTGCGTTTGTTTGTTCATTTATTTTTTTAATAAAAAAGTTTTTTTTGGGGGGGGGGGGGGGGGGTGTCCAAAAAGGAATCCGTTAATTAAATTATTCAACAGGAAAAGCACAAAGAAGTAGAGGCCATTGTGATCATTGTTTTAATTTTTCCCAACAAAATTATAATTATACTTCAGCTGTAAAATGTTCAGAGTTAATTCAAAGCATGGTTTAGAAAATCAAATTGTTAGAAATGAATCTCATCTCATTTTGCGTTCACTTTTTATTTTGTAGTCCTTTTTCCATGCCTATTTTCTGTGCACAAACATGATTTTCTACCACTGAAAACATCTAAATTGTCAAAACTGTGTATCAATCTGATGTTGCTGCACACACAGAAAATATTTTTTGACGTGTCTAATGAGGGATCAAAACTGTGTTTGTTTTTTTGTCATTCATGAAGCCCTTCATGGCTACAACCATAATAGGGTGGTAGTAAACACACAAGTAAACACCAATCATAACTTTTATATAAGATTCAACTAAAATTTAATAGTTAAAAGAAAAAAATATTTATTAAAAGAACTAAACACAAGTCAAACATAAGAACAGGTAAAGTGGATCTTTTAATAACTTTATGTAATACAATTACATAGAATAACATGGAATTAAATAGCATAAAGTCAGCCATTTTGGCTGATCCTTTTTTCAGTGCAGTTTCTTCCAATGTTGAACAGAAAAGTAAACAATAATAAATAAAGATGTAACCAGGGAAGGACTTTTTTCTATCTTTAGTTTTAAAAATGGTAACACTTTACAATAAGGGTCCCATTATTACCATTACTTTGTGCATTATTAAGCATTGATAAACAAAGGATCCTTTTATTAATGGTTCTGATATTAACTAAGGATATTATTTAATATCAGCATTAAAATTAAGCAGTAACATGAATAAAGGAACCCTTATTGTAAAGCATTACCAAAATACACTGAAAAAAATCCAAAGTCTGACTAGTGCCTAACAAAGGGGGAAACTGCCTGCCAAAACTGAAACCAACGCTGAAATGACGATTGCAGTACCCCCCTCATCCACTAGGGACTGGTTCCTGAAAGGAGCAAGTTCCCATTGACTTCCATGTTGTAAAGGCTCCCCTGCAGGAATAAACATGCTTACAGCCTGGGACCAAAAACATTTTATGTTTAATAGGTCTAGTTTTCCGCCATGACAACTCTGGGGGTGGGGGTTGTGACTCATTTGTTGAGCTGTATTTAAAGCTTCCATCCTTATTAATAGGTAGCAGATGAGCCATCAGTGCTAGCGCTAGCAGCTTGGCCCCTGCTTGCTCCATGAAAGACCTCAGCCTCATACTAAAAGTGTTAAAGCCTAGAAGGTAGCAGAGTCACACAACAGCAGTTTTCTCTATGAAAGCGCATGCCAACCTCTGTTAGCTCTTAGCTACATTGGCTCAAAGTTGTTTGGGTGTCTATCATCTGCCCCCACTCTCACAGCCCCGCTCTCAGCTCTATTTTTGTGTGTTCTGGGAGTGACGACACGCGTGACGTGGCCAAGATGGCAGTGGTGGGAAGCGCCCACTGGGCTTCAATTCAGCTCTAGAAACCCACAGTTGACAGCGCAGAGGGTGTATCCCTATATAGAGTCTATGTGCCAGACATGTGTAGACCAGACATGTAGAAATGCATGTGTCACAGCATCTTCCAGTTGGGTTTGCATCTGTGTTTTTAAAATAACGCTGGGAATTTCAGTAGCTATGTCTATGTACAGACCAACATATGGCAGCCAAGAGGCAGACCAAAATCTGTTGAACATTTTCCTTCGCCGACTCTTTTCTTTATATTATGCTCCTCTGTCTGAATCTTTTGCTGTCCCTGCATATTTATTTCTGCTAGCTCCCATACGCCCAAACTCACTGAAGTGTCCCTGTGTTACTGAATTATCAGCACCAGGCTGAAGAGAGAGTAACTAATGACTACACTCAGCCACTTCCATGGTAACCGCTTCAGCTCGTGTGTGTCTGGATGCTGAGGTGCAGAGAGGAGGAGAGGAAAACACAAACATATGACGAAGCCGCTGTCACATGAAATGCATTTGAGGAGGCAGAAACATATGTTTTTGACATGACAGCAGCATCCTCCACTAAGAAAATAAGCCCTCATTTCTTTTCCTGCTTTCAACCTTGTGCTGAACCATTCATGCAGAATTGAAAAGTGGTGGGGGTGTGAAGTATAAATAGCAGTTCTACTTTACGCAAATAAAAGCTTGTCCCCTTTTGAAGTGAGCAAAAGCTAAACCTGCTTTAAACCCACACTGAGTGCTGCTGCAGAGATGCACCTTCTGCACATTTTGACACAAAGAACAAGAACCTGGGAGCCGATGGAGAATGAGTGCAGAAGCTGGCTTTAATTCTCCTCTCCATGTTTTTTATCTCAGCTGTCACGACAACCACAAAAGCCTTATCAAGCAAACAAAGGCAGCACAACCATCGCTGAAGCAGTTCACACCCCTCTGGCTGCCCAAACACACACAGACGTGCCTTTTAAAGTAGAGTGCTGATAGTCGGTGAACAAAGGAATTACCACAAACATCTGCTGCCCTATTCAAACCTGGAATGGCTAACATTTGTGCAAAGATACATCTGACACAGATAAAATAAACCAATGTCAAATTCACTTCAAAAATCTAATAGAACATGCATTTCTTACCTTTCTGGGTCTGCCCCTCATCCATCTCTTCTTCCATCTTTACTAATTCTGTTTTAAAGCTACTAAACTTTAAAGGTGAAAATTTTCTGTTTGGTTTAAAGGCTTTAAGCCTTGCTTATGATAAAAATAATCCACAAAGCGCCTTAATCTTTCCTTTTTGCCTCACTTTCCCACTCTGTGAGGGCTCCTACTGAAGGCTGAGATTGGCTGTCAGCTGTGGTTTCTGTCAAGCGTCTGGATGATGCAAGGGATCACTGAGTCGTTGTGGTGCTGTCCATTGTGAGCTACTGTGGCAAGCACTGAAACCCTCCTTGGACGAGGAATAGGAGGAGGAGGAGGAAAAGGGGGCTGGATTGAGCAGAAGGTGGTCTGTACGGAAGGCAGCTAAGCAGAGAGGAGAGCATGTCAGAAAGGGTAAATATACAATTACTAGTTAGTGGAAAATATAAAACACAGAGACAAGTTTTGAGTAGGTTTGGATGTTGTGTAGACGCTAGACAGTAGGGTTCTGTTTGGATCAACAAAACATGCTCCTGGACAGAAGGGTTAAACCCATTATCACCAACCCCCACTCCCAACACAGGACTCTACTGCATCAAGTCATTCCCTCCTATGAGGGCGGGGGGGGGGGGGGGGGGGGTGTAGTTGATTTTGAAATAGGATTCTCCAAATCTTATTAGTCACAGTTGATTCAATTATACAAACAAGGAGTCTTAAACATCCATAAAGTGCAGACACTGCAGAGGCATGCTGTATCTTGGGTGACTTTATTTAAAACTTTTAGAAAATGCACGTTTTGCTTAGCAGAAACTTTTTTGTACAAGAAAGCATGTCAAGGTCCATGATGGATTTGATTTAGTTGTGTGGCAGATAAAAGTGTCATAAAACATTAATGCCACGCTTCTTGTATACTGTTTAGCCATCTCCATTCAGCTACATCAGACTCAGTCATCCTGTCAGACTGGTCGGCTGGATTCGGGAGTTGAGTTTGTAGGGAGCGTAGTTTCACAGACACGGAAGTGAGAGCGTCGGTGAAACGCCGGCTCACGCTTTAATCTAGGAAACCCCCAAGCGTTCGAGCGTCAACAAAGTGACACAGAAATGTTGGGCTTTCCAGAAATAAGATAACTTACTATGAGCTGATAGTTTGTGGGATGGATCGGTAGGTTGGAAACTCTGATCATGAATCTGAAGAAACGATGACTGAGTGGTGAGCTGGAAAGGCGACTTCCGTTTATAGCCGCGGTTTGTGACATGGAGGGAATCCCCGCGAGGGGCATGCTGGGAGTTGTGGTCCTTAGTGGAGGCCAGCTAGCTGGGAGAGGCTGGCCTGGGAACTTGGGTTCTGACTTGGGTTCTCCTGAAGTCCCAGGGCGGCCCCGGCGGTCCCAGAAGTCCGAGATAAGGGCAGGGTCCAGGATGGAGCGGGCCGGTTCCCAGGAGCGTTCCTCGGGGCCGTAGTCCGCCCAGTCCACGAGGTATTGCCACCCCCGACCTCTGCAACGGGCGTCCAGGATGCGCCGGATGGTGTAGATTGGCTCACCATCGAGGAAGCGGGCAGGCGGAGGCGCCGGAGCCGGAATTAGGGAGGACTCCACTTAGGGCTTGAGTCGGGAGATGTGGAAGGTGGGATGAATGCGGAGAGTAGCCGGCAACCGCAGCCGGTACGAGACTGGGTTGATGACCTTCTGTACTGTGTAAGGCCCGAGGAACCGGGGAGCGAGGTTTTTGGATTTAGCACGGAAGCGGAGATCCGCGGTGGACACCCAGACCTTATCTCCAGGGACATAGGAGGGACCAGGACGGTGTCTGCGGAGATGTTGGCGAGCGTAACGGGCTTTAGCTCGAGTGATGGAAGCCTGTGCTTTGATCCAGGCATTCTTGCAGCATCTCACTAGTGACTGTGCGGCCGGTACAGCAACTTTGGGCTCCTGGTGGGCGAAGACCGGGGGCTGGTAGCCATAGCAGACCTCGAAAGGAGACATATGAGTGGTTGAAGAGGTGTGGAGATTGTGGGACAGCTCAGCCCAGAGGAGGTACTTAGGCCATTGGGAGGGTTGGGCCGAGACGAAGCACCGGAGGTACCGACCCAGCTGTTGGTTAGCCCGCTCAGTCTGACCATTGGTCTGCGGGTGATAGCCTGAGGATAGGCTGACCGATGCTCCCATGAGGTGGCAAAAGGCTTTCCAGAAACGGGCCGCAAACTGGGGAACCCGGTCGGAGACCACATCGACAGGGAAGCCGTGGAGGCGCACCACGTTCTCCAGAAATAGTTCTGCCATGCGTCGGGCTGAAGGGAGACCCGGGAGGGTGATGAAGTGGACAGCCTTTGAAAACCGGTCAGTGACTGTGAGGACTGTGTTGAGGTTGTTGACCGGGGGAGTCCTGTGATGAAATCCAGGCCCACATGAGACCAAGGACGGCTGGGCACCGGAAGAGGTCTGAGGACACCAACAGGGGCCTGGCTGGGTGTCTTGGAGCGGGCGCAGATGTCACAGGCGCTAGTGTATTCCTTTACATCCCTTGCCATGCATGGCTACCAGACCGCTCGTTGGAGGAACTTCAGGGTTAGAGAGGAACCCGCGTGGCCCGACAGGTGTGACGAGTGGGACCGGGAGAGGGCCTCGCTACGACAGGACCTAGGGACATAGAGACGACCAGTGGGGGTCTCTGGTGGTGCGGGGTCGTCCCGGAGGGTGTTCTGGATGGCCTTCTCCAACGGCCACTTCAGATGGGCCAGGAAACGGTGCTCTGGGAGAATCGGTGCCGGCACGGATGTTGGCGTGGAGTGGGTGAACTGGCGAGAGAGGGCATCAGCCTTCCGGTTCTTTGTTCCAGGGCGGTAGGCGAGATGGAACTGATAGGGCTCGAAGAAGAGGGCCCAGCGGGCCTGGCGAGGATTGAGCTGCTTGGCGGATCGAATGTGAGTCAGGTTCTGGCGGGTCCATGGTTATGCCCTGATCCGATATCATGAAACCCAAGAACAAGATGGTCCGCTGGTGGAATGAGCATTTCTCGGGTTTGCAGTACAGGTTGTTGTCCAGGAGCCGGGTCAGAACGGCACGAACATGGTGGAGGTGTTCGGCCTCGGACTTGGAATAAATTAGGATATCATCCAAGTAGGCAAACACCCACCAGCCCAGCATATCGCAGACATCATTTATGAGGCGCTGAAATACGGCGGGGCTATTGCACAACCCGAAGGGCATGACCAGGTACTCCCAATGGACGGTGAGTGTGATGAAGGCGGTTTTCCACTCATCCCCAGCTTTGATGCGGACCAGATTGTAGGCGCTTCGGAGGTCCAGTTTAGTGAAGATGCGCGCCTGGGAAATGGAGTCCAGAGCCGTAGTGAGGAGTGGCAGGGGGTGACGATCCCTGACAGAGATCTTGTTTAGACCCCGGTAGTCTATACAGGGACGGAGGTCACTTTCCTTCTTCTTCACGAAGAAGAAGTCTGCAGCACCCGGAGAAGAGGAGGGTTGAATGAAACCTTGTCGGAGGGCCTGGTTGATATATTCCTCCACAGCTCTGGATTCGGAAGGAGAGAGAGAGAAAAGACGTCCAAGGGGCGGACTGGTTCCTGGCTGCAGCTTGATCTCCATGTCATATGGGCGGTGAGGCGGCAGTGTGGTGGCGCGTAGCTTGTCAAAGACTGTGGCCAGGTCCCGATAGGGCAGTGGCACGTTGGACGGTAGAGGTCCGGGACCACCAGCCGGGTGATCAGCCATGGGTATAGGTGGAGAGAGGTGGGCCTGGCACTGGGTCCCCCAGCCTAAAAGGCGGTTCTGGGACCAGGAAATCTGGGGATAGTGGAGACGGAGCCAGGGGAACCCCAGGATCAGAGGAGAAGAGGGAGCAGAGATAGTAAGGAAATTGAGGGTTTCCCGGTGGCCTTGGAGGATCATCTGGAGCGACTGGGTTCGGTCTCAGACAGGATAGGGCTGGAGGGGTCTGCCGTCCACTGAGGTTTCGGAACAACCCGTTTCAGGGGAGTCAGGGGGATCCATAGGCGTCTAGCCAGATCCACATCTATGAAGTTGTCCGAGGCCCCCGAGTCCACTAGAGCATGTACCTGATGTGAGGTCTCACCATGACAGAGGGTGACGGGAAGGAGGAGTCGGTGGGAAGAGACAGGGGCAGAGGGTGGCCCTGGCTGAGCTACCCCTATGCTCAGTGGGTTCCTTCGTTTCCCGGCCGTAATGGACAGTCCAGGCGCCGGTGGTCGGGAGAGCCGCAAAAGGCACAGAGACCCTCGCGCCACCGTCGCTGTCTCTCCTCCGGGGGAAGGTGGCCTAGCTGCATAGGCTCCTCAGTAGAAGTGGGTCCGGGGGCTGGCGTTGGCGAACGAGGAGGTGGTCCAGGAGCTCTGAATGGGCGATTGGAGGACCTGGGTCGAACCAGAACCCGCTGGTCGATGCGCAGCGCCAGATCAGCAACATCATCCAGGGTCTGGGGCAGTTCTTTTCCCGCCATCTCGTCGCGGATGTAGGGCGCCAACCCCTCTAAGAAGACAGCCCGAAGGGCAGAGTCATCCCACTGCAATTTGGCAGCAATGGTGCGAAACTCTGACGCATAGGCGCACACCGAGCGTTCCCGCTGGCGGAGCTTTAGGAGACGTGCTTCAGCCCCCACTTCACTACTGGGTGGAACGAATGTCTTCCTGAGGGCGGCCACAAAAGCAGCATAGTCATTGCAGGCAGGGGATTTGGAATTATAAAGAGCAGCGGCCCACTCCTGAGCGCGTCCAGAAAGCAGGGAGGTGAGGTGCGCAGCCCGAGAGCGGGCAGTGGGGAAGCGTCCTGGTTGGCACTCGAACTGCATGTCGAGGGAGGCGAGCAGACCATAAGGGCTCCCAACCTCTCCATTCCACCTCTCAGGCAGGCAGAACTGCGGCTCCTCCTTAGGTGGAGTGAGGGCTTGCTGCTGAAGAGAATTGATGGATGCGGATAATTGAAGGGTGAGGTCGGTCAGAGAGTTCACCTTGGTGTTGAGCCAGTCGACCAAGGCGTGAAGCTGAACAATCTCATTTTTCATTCGCTCAAACTCCGCTGGGTTTACGGACTCAGTCATCCTGTCAGACTGGTCGGCTGGATTCGGGAGTTGAGTTTGTAGGGAGCGTGGTTTCACAGACGCGGAAGTGAGAACGTCGGTGAAATGCCGGCTCACCCTTTAATCTAGGAAACCCCCGAGCGTTCGAGCGTCAACGAAGTGACACGGAAATGTCTTTCCAGAAGTAAGATAACTTACTTTGAGCTGATAGTTCGTGGGAATCATCGGTAGGTTGGAAACTCTGATCATGAATCTGAAG